AAAACTCCAGAGAAACAGGAATTGAGGAGGTTTCTCAAGTGGATAAAGAGAATTTACAAAAATCCCTCAGCTAACATACCAAATGGTGAAAGACTGAATGCTTTCTCTCTAAGATTGGGAACAAGGACATCTGCTCTCATCAGTGCTTTTCAACAACATGATCAGAGTCCTCACCAGCTGAATGAAGCAAGAAAAGGATATAAAGGCATATAATTGGAAAGAAATAAAAGTTTTTATTTGCAGATAGCATGATGGTTTACATAGAAAATCTAGAGGACTCTATTTAAAAACAAACCAACAAAAATCTCTCCTTAAACAATGTGTCAATCCAGCAAGGTCACAGAATACAAAATCAACATACAAAAAAACCAACTGCATTTCTTTTTGTTGTTGTTGTTAAGTTTATTTATTTATTTTGGGACAGAGAAAGCCTGTGCACATGAGCAGGGGAGAGTGGCAGAGAGAGGGAGAGACAATCCCAAGCAGGCTCCACAATGTCAGTGCCGAGCCTGATACAGGGCTTGAACTCATTACCCTGTGATCATGACCTGACCCAAAATCAAGACACTTAACTGTCTGAGCCACTCAGGCTCCCTTCCACTGCATGTCTTATACTAGAAATCAAAATTAAAAAAAAAAAAATAGTATCATTTATAATTGCTCAAAAAGTGAAGTACTTAGGTATGAATTTAACAAAACGTACACAGCTACTTACAAGCTAAGGAGCACACAGCACTAATGAAAGAAATCAAAGAAGTAAGTAAATGGAGGGGTGCCCACTGGCTCAGTTGGGGAAGTGTGCACCTCTTGATCTCGAGGTCGTGAGTTCTAGTCCCACACTGGCTACAGAGATTACTTTAAAAAAATAAAAATAAAAAAATCTTAAAAAAAAAAGAGAGAGAGAGAAAGAAATAAGTAAATGGAGAGGCATCCCACATTCACAGACAGAATGACTCAGATGGGTGGAAATGTCAATGCTCCCCAAATGGATATACAGGCTAAACAAAATTCCTATCGAAATCTCTGTAAGACTCTTTGTAGACATGGACAAGATTATTCTAAAATTTACAAAGAAATTTTACAAAGGGACTAAAACAGCTGAAGTAATTTCTGAAAACAATACAATGGGAGGAATCAAGGCCGCCACTTCCAAGACTTAGAAAATAGCCGCAGTAATCAAAGCTGTGCGGTATCAGTAGAGACAGACCTAGGTCAATGAAACAGAGTAAAGAACCCAGGAACAGACCTATAGAAATATGCTCAACAGAGTTTTTGCTTTTTTTACAGAGAGAGAAAGCGTGAGTGTGTGCACGAAAGGGCTGGGGCGGAAAGAGAGACAGAGAATCTTAAGCAGGCTCCACACCCAGCATGGATGTGGGGATAGATCTCAGGCCCTGGGATCATGACCTGAGCCACAATCAAAAGTCGGACGCTCAACCAACTGAGCCACCCAGGCGCCCCTCAAGTGATGTTTGACGAAGGAGCAAAAGCAATTCAATGAAGGGAAGAAAATCTTCCTTTTTAAAAAAAAAAAAAAAAGTTTACTTCCTTATTTTGAGAGAGCACAGAGGAGGGCAGAGAGAGAGAGGGAGAGACAGAATTCCAAGCAGGCTCCATGCTGACAGCACAGATCCTGACGGAGGGCTCGATCTCACGAACTGTGAGATCATGACCTGAGCCAGAGCCAAGAGTGAGATCCTAAACCCACTGAGCTACCCAGGTGCCCCGAAAACCTTTCCAACAAATGGGGCTGGAACCAGACATCCACTGGCACAAACAAATAAGCCACAACTAATGTGTCACACCTCATTTATAAGTTAGAGATCACGGGGGCGCCTGGATGGCTCAGGCGATTGAGTGTCCAGCTCAGGTCATGATCTCGTGGGTTTGTGGGATGGAGCACCACATTGGGCTCCACAGTGTGGAAACTGCTTGGGATTCTCTCTTCCTCTCTCTCTCTCTCTGCCCCTCCCCTGCTTTCTCTCTCTCTCTCTCAAAATAAAGAAACTTACATACATACATAAATAAATAAGCTAGAGATCATGGACTCAAATCCAACTGGATCACAGATCATGGATTAAACCAATCATAGACTTAAAATGGAAAATGTTTAACTATATAACTTTTAGGCAAAAATATAGGATGAAGTTTTTGAGATTGAAGACCAGGCAAAGAGTTCTTAGACTTTACACCAAAAGCATGATCCTTAAAAGGAAAAACTGACAATTTGGAGTAAATGAACATTAAAAACTTTTGGGCTTCAACTATACTTTAATAAAAAAAATAAAATAAAAATTAAATACAGTAAAATAAAATGGATGAAACCTTGGTTGGGGGCAGGGGGGAGGGGGTGGGAAGACCCTGTCAAAGGGAAGGAAAGTCAAGCTCCAGAATGAGAGGAAACATTTACAAAACACATATCCAACGAAGGTCAAATATCTGGGACATATAAGGAACTCTCAAAGTAAGAGAAAAATGCAAATGGTCCCATTAGAACATGAGCAAAAGTCGTGATGAAATATTCCATAGAAGATGACAGGATATTCAGAGGCCAGATCCGCACAGGAAAAGATGCCCAACATTATTAGCCCTCATGGAATGAAAATGTAAACCATAATGAGACATCACAGCACACCCATCAGAACAGCTTAAAAAAAAAAAAAAAACAGTGCAAACAGTAAACGGTGGCAGCAAGAATGTAGATTACTCACACACTGCTCATGGGAATGGGATGGCATAGAGTCCCTCCGGAAAACAAAACTAAATTCGCACTTAGCACACAACCCAGGGACTATATACCTGGGCATTTACCCCAGAGACACAAAGTGACGCTCACATAAAAACCTTACAAATATTTACAACAGCATTAGGCAGAATGGCCCAAACTAGAAAACAACCCAGAGGTTGTTCAACAAGTGCATGGGCAAAAAAATGTGGTGTATCTGGACCATGGAATTCCACTCAGAAATAAACAGTTCCTCAGACCGTGCCGACTGAACAGTCAACCCCCAAAGGCAGGGGTCCGTCTATACAACGTTCGTGAAGTTGACAACATCTGTGGTTAGTGTGGCCAACGAGAGGACGGCGTGAAGGAGCCATGGATTTCACTATAAAAAGCAACAGGAGGGATGGTCGTGGTGACACAAATGTTCTGTATCATGTGTGTATCAACACCAGTGCGCTGGCTGTAGCCTCGGGCTGTGTTTTCACAAGACATTACCATTTAGCGTAAAGAGTACAAGGGATCTCTGATATTTCTCACAACTGCATGCGAAGGTAGTTACTCAAAGAAAAAAGGTAAACATTACATGCACCCACGTTCACAGCAGCATTATTCACGACAGCTGGACACAAACCAAGGGTCCACCAAAAATGAATAAACAACATGCATTATACACACACTATGGGATCTTATCCAGCCTCAGAAAGGAAGTCCTGTCACAGGATACGGTATGGACGGACCCTGAAGTCCCTATACTACATGAAACAAGCCAGTCACAAAGGTGTAATTCTTATGCAAGCTAGTTAGGGTAGCTGAGTTCATAAAATAGAATGGTCATCTCTCTGGGGACACGGGGAGCTATTCCTGGAACCAGTGAGGAGTTTCAGTTTGGAAAGATGAGAAAGTTCTGGAGGTGGGCTGCATGACAGTGTGAATATGTGTATTACTAAACACTTAAAAACACTACAGTACATAAAAATAGTTAAGATGGTAAATTTTATGTAACATGTATTTTACTACAATTGAAACTAAGGGGCGCCTGGGGGGGGCTCAGTCGGTTAAGTGTCTGATTCTTAATTTCCACTCAGGTCATGATCTCACAGATTGTGAGTTCAAGCCACATGCACAGAGTCTGCTTGGGATTCTCTTTCTCTCACTCTGCCACTCCCTCCTTCACTCTCTCTCTCTCTCTCTCTCTCTCTCTCTCAAAATAAATAAACTTAAAAAAAATGTTAGAAAGACTGAGAAACAAAAACCTTCGTGATGAAGACTTTCACTGCACTGAGCAGAAACGATCTTCAGCAGAGTGATGAAACAGCACTGACTTACCAAAATCTGTCTCCTGTTTACTGGGGCCTTTACAGGAACGCAGAGAAATTCAAAGACGAATACCTTGGTTGGGGTACAGGAACGCAGAGAAATTCAAAGACGAATACCAAGGCTCATTAGATACTAAGGTCACAGCATCTCTGTGTGTCATACTGGCCAAAAGTCTCAATCTTTAATAAGAAACCTGAATTTTCCTTCCTTGGGCTCACACTTGTGCTCAGCAGCCACCACACTACATGGGAGATGCTGACACACGTGAACAGAGCCCATGAATGCAGCTCTTGGGGAAAGGAGGCGCCCCACCCCATGTGCCCGGTACCACGTACCCAGGCTTCAGGTTACGCAGGATGCATTGTGCTTAGGATTGCCGAGAACAACCTTAGGACGTGATTACTGTGTGTCTACCATCCTTCAGATGGCCCTCCATCTGTAAGGAATAATAACCAGACAAGGTCCACACCTTCTTGTCATGCACTTTCTCGTGCAACCAGACCAGGCTGTAATACCCAAGTCGCGTGCCAGCCAGCAGACATCATTAGAGAGAAACAAAGGGGGTGTGATGAGAAACTGTGGCCAGAGGCAATGGGGCTGGAAGGAAGTGCGTGAGACCCCCTATCGGACCAGCTTTCCATCCCACAGGGACGCCCAACAAGGGAAGCCTTGCATGGCCTTGTGCAGAATCACAACAGGGAAAAACGCCCAGGAAACTCCCCAACAACATGCCCGCTTGCGTACAGCACTGACATGATCTCTGCTTTTCCTCCATTTCCTAAATACAATCACTGTGGTTATCACTGCATAAGACAGTACCCTGTGAAGTATGAAAAGAGAGGTCTCCCTTTTTTCACAAGGGGGAAACCCTAACACACGGGGAAGGACATCTGTCTCCCACCATCACAGCTGGCGGGCAGAGATGGGGTTCTTCAAGGGCTGTACACACATCACTCACCGGGGGCAGCTGCAGGGCGGTTACCTGCTGTGTATCCCTCAGACTTGCCTCCTGAAGAAGGGCAGGCTCTTGCAGAACTGAAAGAGAGGAAACGTGGATTCATAAATCTCAGGTCTCCTCTCCTCTGCAAGAGGAGGGCTGCAAGACGTCAAAGGGGTAAAGCACTTGTGAACCACAAGAATTTATGTCACCAATGAGAAGGCTTCAGGGGGGAATGCCTGGGTCATGTGCGCTCGGTCACTAGGGAGCTTTTTTGTATATAATATGTGATGTTTTTTAATAAAATTTTTTTAATGCTTATTTATTTTTGAGAGAGTTGCACAGTGTCAGCAGGAGAGGGACAGAGAGAGAGGGAGATATAGAATCTGAAGCAGGCTCCAGGCTCTGAGCTGTCAGCACAGAGCCCAATGCGGGACTCAAACCCACAAACCATGAGATCATGACCTGAGCCAAAGTTGGACGCCTGACCAACTGAGCCACCCAAGTGCCCCCAATTTTTAAACAATTTTTTAATGTTTATTTTTGGCAGAGAGAGAGAGGGAGAGGGTGAGAGAGAGAGAGAGAGAAAGAGAGAGAGAATGAGCGGGGGAGGGGCAGAGAGAGGGGGAGACACAAAATCCAAACCAGGCTCCAGGTTCTGAGCGGTCAGCACAGAGCCCAATGCAGGGCTTGAAGTCACAAACCATGAAATCATGACCTGAGTCGGAGTCAGACGCCTAACTGACTGAGCCACCCAGGTGCCCGTTTTTTAATTTTTTTTTTAAGAGAAAGAGTATGAGCAGGGAGGGGCAGAGGAGACAGAGAAAATCCCAAGGAGGCTCCATGCTCAGTGTAGAGCCCAACATGGGGCTCAAACCCATGACCCTGCGATCATGACCTGAACTGAAATCAAGAGTCAGATGCTCAGCTGACTGAGCTACCCAGGTGCCACTATTATTTTATTTTTTTAAATTTTAATTCCAGTATAGTACACATACAGCGTTATATTAGTTTCAGGTGGACAATACAGTAGGTTAGCAAATCTGTGTATTTACTCAGCTCATCAGGATAACTGTATGCTGCCATCAGGTAGCTCTGCAACTTTCCATGGGTTCAGGGATCTCAGCTTCAACCGCGATATGGGGGAAAATAAAGGTTAAAGCTCTACGGGGCTGTGGTGCCAGTAAGAGCTGCTAGTAATGAACATGATTGTAGACTCCACTATCATCTATAGATTTTTAAGTTCATAAATTGCAAAGCTGCATGAGGAAGCAGCTGTGAGGTACTCTTGGAAGAGCTACTGTCACATGAAAGTGCAAAGTGTGCGATTAGAGTCATCTCACCTGCCCTCAACTTGAGCTGCTGGGACCTCTGCTATATTCTCCTATGACGTCCCTCCTCTGGCTGGGACTTATTGCCTGCCTCAGGCTTCTGCTAGCCGGTGGGGGGCGGGGGGAGCCACGTACCTGGCAGGGAGTTGCTGTGTGAACCCGAGCTGTGTTTTAGAATGCGCTCCTTTTGGGGCATCTGGGTGGCTTAGTCGATTAAGTCTCCAACTCTCGATTTTGGCTCGGGTCACGATCTCGCAGTTTGTGAGTTTGAGCCTCACATCGGGCTCCGCACTGATGGTGTGGAGCCTGCTTGGGATTCTCTCTCTCCGAAAAATAAGTAAACTTTAAAAAAACAATATGCTCCTTTTACAGAGTGAGACTTGGAAAGCTGTACTACCATCTCCTGGTTGAGAGGAAATCCCAGAGGCTGACCCTAGGTCACGTGTTAAATCACTGCCAAAGCTAACACTGGAAGCCAGTGTCCCTCACCTTTCGGACCTGGGACACGAAGCTTTCGTCATGGCACAGGCAAGACACCTGTGCCAGTTTATCCTGTGGTGATGTCTGGCTGCCCCAGCTGTGGAAGCTCAGGATTGGAGTAGGGGGTGATTTAATATGCTCTCTTACCTGCTGCCTTCTGAGGGAGGGACTACAGCCCTGCCTTACATGTCCCCAGAAGAAATGAGTGCAGGGACACTATGCACATCCCTCTGCAGAGCTCTGTCTCCAAACAAAATCTAGCTTTTGAGGAAGACCTTCAAGATTAGCAACTACACTGGGGCGCCTGGGTGGCTCAGGTGGTCAAGTGTCAAACTCTGGATTTCTGCTCAGGTCATGAGCTCACGGTTGGGAGTTTAAGCTCTGAGTCAAGCTCCGTGCTGACTGTGCTGAGGCTGTCTGGCATTCTCTCTCTCACCCTCTCTCTGCCCCTCCCCTGCTCATGCTATCCCATTCTCACTCTCTAAATAAATAAATAAACTTAGGAAAACAAACAAACAAAAAAAAAAACAACATAGGAACTGTATAGCTGCTACTGGAGGCTCATCCCCACAAGTCAATGATGAATTTTAAGGTCTTCCTGATAACTTACTCGCATCATGCCTACTCTGTCCATTTACTGTTGTCCGGGGAAATACTGGAGCTGACCTATCTGACCCAAAGCCCCTTGCAGCACCTGGCTCACCTGCCTGGGCTGGTGCAGCACCTGGATCTCCTATCCGCCCTCCTGAAGACCCTCCCAGGACACGACCCAGGCTGTGTGCACACACAAGGTTTATCTGGGAGAATAAGTTCTGGGCTGAGTTGTGTCCCAATCCTAGTACCTCAGAATATGACTGCATTTAGAGAGATCTCTCAAGAGGTAATGAGTTAACGTGAGGTCACAAGGGTGGGCCCTGCTCCAACGACTCGTGTCCTTATAAATAGAGATTAGGACAACCGTTTGGAGATGCAGGGAGACCACAGTGATCAACAAGCCAAGGAAGGAGCTCACGGGAAAGCGAGCCTGCCTGCACCTTGGTTTAGAACATCTATCCCGCAGAACTCTGAGGATGTAAACCTGCATTGTTGGGCCTGCCCGGTACGATGCTTTGCCAAGCAATCCCTAGCAAACTAACACAAGGCCAGCGTGCCTGGACATCTGTACTAAAGTCAGATTAATTCCACCCAAAAAGAAACTTAATATGTTTTTTTTTTTTTTTTTTTTTTTAACTGAAAAGCTTATAAAGGATCACTTCTGTGAGTCACAGGAGTGCACTCCCGGCTTCCTATGGCATGTGTAACTACAGTACAACGTGGGGAGTCTGCCCACACCAACCTGCACCCCACAGGGGTCACTCCCCTCAACCACAACTTCCCATGGTGGTTACCGCGACCAAAAGTCAAGAAGGGCTCAGGGTCTCTGCTCTCAGCATTCTGTGGGTAAAGTCCTTTAATTCTCAAAAGACCCATATGGGTGATGATTATCCCCAAAGGGTGGGCCAGGAAACCAGGACTTGGAGAGTGCTCTCAGTCATAGCTAGAAGAGTCAAAGCCACCTGCCTCAAGCCACCACTGGCACTCTTTGTACAGATAGCCAAATAGGTCCAGGCGACATTCAGGCCTGAAAAACCCACCCTGTTCCCTCTGAAGCACTTGTAGATTTCTTTGCAGCTTCCTAACAAATCCGGAGAGCAGCTATTTCTTCGCTGGGGAAGGAGGTTCGGAGACACAAGATGTGGCTGTGCTCAGCCACCCACACAGGCGTCTCCCCAAACCAACCAAGTCTGGAGATGCACCCTCAAGAAGAGGAGATGGTGCGGCCTCAGACACCCACCCACAGCCCTCGTCGCTCTGTGTGGATTTACCACAGTGAAGGGGGCACACATCCTCAGGAGATCCTGACTGAATTGCTCTAGAGAAGGACCCAGACCATGGAAACAGTTCACGGCTCTTCAGGGGATGAGCAAGAAAAACCCAAGTCCAGAGCCAGAGGCACAGGGAGGGGTAACCCCACTGAGTACCTGGATCCCCACCGGGCTGGCCTGGGGTTCTGCTCGGGAGCCCAGGGCCCTGTGCTACGGCCGTGGGCTGGCTGTCCTGGCTCTTTGCAAGGTCGCTCTGGGCTTCTGCCGGCAGCCGCTCCGGCTCTCGGTCTGGAGGGCCTTCGCCATCATCAATCACCACGGGGTCTTCACAGTGCTTGAGCTGCAATCACAGAGAGGGTGCTCAGGGCGAGGTGGAGAGGTCCTGCTGACCATCTGCACAGTGACCGCCATAGGCTCCGCCAGGGCCCTGCATAGGACAGAACCATGCCCCAAAGCAGGACCCTCAAGGAATGGAACCTGCTTTCTTGGGAAACCAAACTCCAGTGTGAGCCTTGCTGAAGTGTGGGGCTCTACACAGAACTTCTCCGCAGCCAGGGGCCCCAAGGCACCCTCCCCACCAGTGCTGCCCAGCCCCGCTGTGTCCCACTGCTCACCCACTGCCAGGGCCGCCCAGGCTCCCGCTCCAGCGCCTCCACGGCCGCCACAGCCTGATCACCACTCTCAGGCTCCTGGGCCCGCACCCAGCCCTGGATCTCACGGGGCAGGATGGCCAGGAACTGCTCCAGCACCAGTCGCTCCAGGATCTGTTCCTTGGTGTGTCTGTCGGGCCTCAGCCAGCCCTGACACAGGTCCCAGAGGCGGCGCAGGGCCTCCCGGGGGCCCGCCGCCTCCTGGTAGCGAAAACGGCGGAAGAGGCGGCGGGAGGACTCGGGGCTGGGAAGCTCGCCCTGGGGGCTAGGGTTCTCTCCTGGTGGGCTCCTCATTTTCCTGGGCTCCTCGCTTTCTTTCGGAGCCAAGACTCGGGGACACAGGGCTGTGGGCATGATGGGATTTGATGGGGGTCAGCAGCAGAGGACGACCCTATTTCCAAACAGAAATCACTGGCTTCAATGTTCTGGTCTCCTGTGGCAGTTTTTGGGGGGCAGTGATGGGGAAAGTGACAAAACCCGCAGAGACCAGCCCGTGGGACAAGTCCTTGGACATGGGACAAGGGTCACTGTGGCTGGCCCTTGCACAAGGGGAGATAGGGAAGACCCCCCCCCCCCCAACACAAGAGCATCATGACAGGATTTCCCTAACGGGGCAGCCAAATGAGGCGGAGGATCTGGGAGAGAAGCGCTAGCATATCAACACATCACGGGCATTTCAGGCATCCAGGGAGCCCGACAGGGCCACATGCAGGGCAGAGATTGAATTGAGACTCTGTGGTACCTTCCGTGGCCAGGTCCTCCTGGACAGGACAAGTGAATAGGCCGCTATCTTGAGGCTTCGCAGCCAAAGTCCCCGTTCTTGCCCTTGAAACCTTTACAAAAGGAGCTGGAAAGACACAGACATGCCTGGGGTGCCTGGGAGGAGCCTTCAAAGAGGATCCGGGACCAGAAATCAGCCATGCTGGTGCCCAGGGCCAGCCATCGGTGCTGGATCTGGACTCACACAGAGCAAGAATTAATGGCACCCAGCAGAATCCAGGGGGATAAAGCACACCGCCCAGATGATGCCCATGCATAAGATGGGAAGAGTCAAAAGAGGTAGGTACATCCTGAGTGTAGAGCAGAAGGTAACTACGTATGTAAAAACATCAGTGCTTTCAGATCAGCCTCCACCCAACTTGCCCCCAAGTCTGGATGGCAAACTTTAGGATGTGTTTAAAGATGCACTGGCCTTCCATCGAGCCTCTACCCCACCCCCTTGTCCTCTTCAAACCATGATGAAGGCAACCGTGTACTGCTCACGGCCCTTCCTCCGTCAGAAGTGAGGTGGGGGCACTCTGGCGCAGTCACACCTGCACCTCCCCAGTGAACACACACAGGGCGACATCAGGGAGCAGTAACCCTGACTCTGCACTGTGGGACTCAAGGGAAGGGCGAATGGGGAAACATGAGGGCCTTGGACTCCAGTCTGCATAAGGCTCCAGCTCACTCCCATTTCACAGGAAGACCAGTGAGGCCAGGAGAGAGAACAAAGGCCACTGAGTGGCAATCAGAAACACTCCAGTCTCTGGACCCCCTTGCTCTGCAACATAGAAACCAATACAGAATGACACCAAAGTATTCCAAGTGTGTCTGGGTGTCCTCCCGCCTCCAGCACCTGGAATACAGTCTCTCCTCCACCTGCCCCCACGTTCCCTGAGTTCAGCCAGCGCACACCTGCCGGGCCTCTATGTTTCTCAGACCTGCCCCTAGGCTTGGGCGGGGGCTCGGGCCCCACCTTCTACACTCTGTTCGCAGCGGGGCATCCCGCTCGGGGTCTGTGCGGATCATCCTAAGCAGACAGCCGGGTCTGCCTTTGCCACCCCGGGACCTGGCACCTGGCACGCAGGCGGCGCAGAAGGATGCCTGATGAATGAGCTAACTTAAGTCCCGGGGGCCTTCCCGGAGGGGGCGGGGCATGCCTGTAGCAGCTCTCGGAGGACAGAGCCCCATCAGCAGAAAGGAAGGAGGAGGGCACGCTAGGCCAGACAGAGAGGCAGGCTGTCCTCGTTCCCCGCCTACCCCAGGCGCGCCTCCAGCGTAACCCGCTCCAGGCTCCTCACCTTGCAGCCCGGACCTCCTTCCCCGAGTCTAACTCCAATCCCTCCTGCTGCTGCGGAAGTCTCCGGCAGCAGCTCCTCATCCTTCCAGCCCGGCCTCCCGGGCGTCCTTCCTGAGGCCGAGGGACTCTCTCCTTGGCTGGTCGAGCCCCCGTCTCCCGCTCATGCACGAAAACGCGGCTGAACTAGTGCAGCAAATGGAGGCGCCTGCAAAACAGCATTCGTGCAGCCTTACAGCCCCGCCCGCGGAGTCCCTGGCGCGGAGAGACCTGGGCTGCGGGCGGGGAGACCCGGGCGCGTGGGGAGGCCGGGGCGCGCGGAGAG